ATAATAAAAGATAAATTGAGAGAGAATAGAGCTACATGGTTTGGACATATATATAGAAGACTTAGGATTGCAATAGTAAGATAGAGTGATGCAATACATAATCGATGGTAGTACGAGAGATAAGAGGTAAGAGCAAATAATTTGGAATGAGGGGCATGAAAATATATTATTGTGCAATCAATGGATAGCACGATGCTGGAATTTGATTCAATCAGTGTACTCCAAATAATTGGGATAAGATTTTGTTTAGTTAAGTTTAGTTGAATATGTTGATTGTAATATGAATTTGGTTGGCTGAATCTAAATTGTGGGGAATTTCTTTTCATTCCACAAATGTGAATTTGGTTGGGTCAAAGTGGTTGTAGGAGATATTCCAAGGATAGTCATGTCTAATGGTATTTAACATAGTTTTAAAACCCGGCCCGGACATCATCTCAGGGAAGAGATCGGGTCAATGGGTCACTAGTCGAAATGGTCATATAATAAAAAAATAAAAATAATTATAAATAAGCTAAAAATCACAACAATTATGAAAATAGAATGCTTAATGTATATTAAATCAAACAAACCCCCAAAATCATCAAACGTATATATCCAATGTATTCAATTTCATATACAACTTGTAAAGTTAAGCATCAAAACCATCTCCTCACAATTAACTAAACTCCACAATGAATTAAAATAGGCCAAAATTTATACAAATAACAAATCAACTAATTCTGAAAAATAACAGCAGAAGCAAGACTAGCAGACAAAAAGAGAGAGAGAGAAAGAGAAACGCAATACTTGATGAGCCAAATATCTGTTGTAGTGCTGTGAGCTTGTGAGTCGAAGAATCCAAGCTGAAAAACCTCGAAGAAGCTGAGTCGAAAAATCTCGAAGAAGTTGGGTCGAAGAATCTGAGCTCTCAAGTCTTTGAGTCTTCGATTGAGTGCATGTGTTATTGTGTTGAGAGAGAAAGGGAGAGAGAGAGGGGTGGGGTAATCAGTGAGGACTAGTTGCCTACAGGAGTCATGAAGAACAGGAGTCATGGAGAAGTAGAGTTGTNTGGGCCCTGACTCACCTTAGGCCAAGGTGTGCTTTTTACAATACTGCCCAGTTAATGGATAGCACGATGCTGGAATTTGATTCAATCAGTGTACTCCAAATAATTGGGATAAGATTTTGTTTAGTTAAGTTGAGTTGAATATGTTGATTGTAATATGAATTTGGTTGGCTGAATCTAAATTGTGGGGAATTTCTTTTCATTCCACAAATGTGAATTTGGTTGGGTCAAAGTGGTTGTAGGAGATATTCCAAGGATAGTCATGTCTAATGGTATTTAACATAGTTTTAAAACCCGGCCCGGACATCATCTCAGGGAAGAGATCGGGTCAATGGGTCACTAGTCGAAATGGTCATATAATAAAAAAATAAAAATAATTATAAATAAGCTAAAAATCACAACAATTATGAAAATAGAATGCTTAATGTATATTAAATCAAACAAAACCCCCAAAATCATCAAACGTATATATCCAATGTATTCAATTTCATATACAACTTGTAAAGTTAAGCATCAAAACCATCTCCTCACAATTAACTAAACTCCACAATGAATTAAAATAGGCCAAAATTTATACAAATAACAAATCAACTAATTCTGAAAAATAACAGCAGAAGCAAGACTAGCAGACAAAAAGAGAGAGAGAGAAAGAGAAACGCAATACTTGATGAGCCAAATATCTGTTGTAGTGCTGTGAGCTTGTGAGTCGAAGAATCCAAGCTGAAAAACCTCGAAGAAGCTGAGTCGAAAAATCTCGAAGAAGTTGGGTCGAAGAATCTGAGCTCTCAAGTCTTTGAGTCTTCGATTGAGTGCATGTGTTATTGTGTTGAGAGAGAAAGGGAGAGAGAGAGGGGTGGGGTAATCAGTGAGGACTAGTTGCCTACAGGAGTCATGAAGAACAGGAGTCATGGAGAAGTAGAGTTGTAGAGGCAAAGATAAAAGAAATTGGGCAAAAATGCCCTAGCACTTGTTTTTAAAGCATTTGACTTAAACTTTCCAGTTTAGAACAAATCATTCNGTAGAGGCAAAGATAAAAGAAATTGGGCAAAAATGCCCTAGCACTTGTTTTTAAAGGATTTGACTTAAACTTTCCAATTTAGAACAAATCATTCGGTTCAACGATTTTGTTACATAACCGGCCGGTTCAACGGGTTTTATTCGGTTCTTTTGCTTGAACGATCCAATAGCTAAACCGGCCTTGTTCAGACTTCGGTTCATCAGATCAACTCGTCGGGCCGGGTTTTAAAATATTGGTATCTAGTCCTTTGACATGCACAATTGCATCAATTGTGTTTCACACAAATAAGGACACTTTGATTGCTGAGTAGTGCTACATGGGAGATGAATGGGAAGCTGGAGAAGTTGAAGTTATTGTCACTACATTTGACCTTGGTTAGGGTTTTAAAGTATCGGTCGAGTTTAGGTTGACGCGGCTTAGTCGTATTCGCCTCAACTCATATCGGAATAATAACGATAAACGTTACACAAATATAACGAGACTTGACTAAATCGGTGTTGACTCTGATGTGATGCAATAGTATTAACCCAACTTGGAGTCAAATCGGGATGTCTCGGCCAAGTCAGATCGAGTCAACACTGTGTGCTGCTAGTTGATCTATAAAATATTAGTCAAGCAGCAAAAAGGAACCCAAAAATAAGGGAAGAAAAAGAACAATATTCAAATACATGAATTTGGTTTATAAATCACATATTTTTGGCATCATAGAAAACATGAGAAAGAATTGAACTGATATGTAAGCAAAATCTGTAGAATTGAACCGGGGATCCTTTTCTTCTTCTTTTTTTGTCTTGCGAAAGGAGCAGTAGCCTAGCCTAGTCGTTTGCCACTAACAGTCTTTGTTGAAGATTTTCTCTCTCTCTCTGTGATCAATTGTCCTCACCTCAAATTCTCTCTCTCTCCCTCCCTCCCTCCCTCTCCCTCTCATCAGGTCTACGAGTGTATACGGTTTGGTGTTACAAGGCATTATAAATGTAACAATAGGGTAAGCATAATAAATTATATATGCGTCATGAGACTGTCGGTTGGGTATTGGGAGTATATAATATCCGAAGGCGGAGCCAAAAAAATGTTTCAGGGTGGGCACTTTAACACGTTTTATCCTAATTTATAAAAAGAAGATGACACATTTATACTATTTATTTCATCAGTGATCCTTAAAAATTTTATGCGTACGTGTGTACAATAGAAAAAAAAAATTAATTATAGTCTTTTATTGAAAATGAGGTTAATTGTAGTTAGTTACAATTGACCTAATAAATTTTTATAATTTGATAGCTTTTTCTGATGATTTCATTATTAATGACTAATAAAATTAATGCCAAAATTACAGATATTTACATTAAAGGATATATCACATTTTTTTTGTTTTAAAATTTTGTAAGCAAGTTCACAAATCTCTGCCAAGTTTTAAACTCGATGCTAAAGTGCACATTAGTAATAAATGGTCAAGTTGATCAAAAGATTTTAAAATGAACACAATATGTCCAAACTAATCTGAATATGTACGAAGTGTGTTCATTGTTAATCATTTAAGTACGAGTGTGTACTAATTGATATGGTAAGAAAATAGAGTAATGCTATAGAGATTTAATTTGAGGATCTAATTCAATATAACCATTGGATTAGTTGTGAGGTCTAAAATTAAATGAAACCCACTTCTAATCTAATGACTATATTAGATTAGAGCAATGCTAGAGGGACCTTATTTAGGGACTTTATTTAGGGATCTAATGATGTGATTTCAATGCAACAATTGAATTAATTGTGAGTATCCAAATAATGTCCAAATAGCATTTTTCATTAGATTAAGTCTTCAAATTAAATCATCAAATTAGGCCCTAATAACATTTTCTAAGAAAATAATAGGGTGGACATAATTAAATGTACTTCAAAAAAATATAATGCGTAATGGCAAGACAACAAAATTGAGGGTGGGCACTTGTCCTTGAGTGGCTCCGCCAATGATAATATCTACAATAAATTCTATTTAACTAATATACTTTCTTTTTACATAATTTAGAAATCTATAATTTACACACACTATATGCTTCCATTAAGTTAACATTATTTTTTGGTACTTTTATATTTTGAAAAATTATAAAAATAACACTGATTATGATTAGGATATGTTTTTAAATATTTATATTGACCATTGATGATGATAAATATTTTCAACGGCGCCTTTATGATTTATTTTCACTATGGCTAATTCATGGATGTTGTTTATACTTTTAAAATTTTTGATGATTTTTTCAGGGTTTTTTGGGCATTTATCTAGCATTTTGGGCATATCGACCGATACCCTATTGCAACACCACGACCAATGTGTATCAGTACCATCCAAGTTGGTGGCTGATATTGTGACACCTTGATGAATTTGTCCATGGAGACCAATTTTGCACCAGTTTGTTTTAAATATGATTTGTCTGAACTCTGATAGCAAAAAAACATTAGTTTGACTCGGGGAGGGACATCTATGATCCTTGATGGCATGTCCGGGATAAGGCAAAGTTTTGGTGTTAGGTCTTGTGTATTCCATCGTGTAACTGCAATACAAGACTATCACTATTCGAGTTTGTGTAAGTGTGAGCTTAAGAAAGTATTCTAGGGGCTTTCTCACAAATCAGGGTTGCGTTATTTTTCTTTTTTGGGCATGGTTTTATCGGTATGTATTCAGTAGCAGCTTCAATTAACATGTGTTCCGTTGTCCACATGGATACAATACCAGTTTTATGTGTTGTATCGGTTCTTTGTACTGTGAAGATTATTCTATAGCATCTGTGATATGTTTTATGCTGCTTAGAAATGTGATTTTTGCATTTTGTATAAATTGTAGGCATCTGTATGATTTACTTTTTTTGCTGATGAGAAGTAACAGGTTCTTGCCCCACAGATTATTATTGATACTGGCTTGACTTTTGGAATAGGAAGGTTATGAGTATGAAGAACCCAATGGTTTTCTTGGATGTGTCCATTGATGGTGATCCCATTGAAAGAATGGTTTTTGAGGTACCATAAGTTGTACTTGATGACTTGAGTATTTAATTTTGTATCAAGAAAAGTATTTTGTGATTTTTTTATATGTGTAATTGATGCTTCATTTATGTTCTTTACTTCTGAAGCCATACTTGTTTCTACTTTTTGATCATCTGGTATGATGTTTCTTCATTCCTCAATGCAAATGTGGATAGTAATTTCTTGTTTTGTGACTTGCAGCTTTTTTGTGATGTTGTTCCCAAGACTGCAGAAAATTTTCGTGCACTTTGTACTGGTAATATGTTCTTCTGTAATTGGTAGTAATTTGTTGGAACCTATGAAACAAGGATACTTTGTTAAGGTTGACGTATCTGTATCGGATACCGTATCGAATATGNGTACTGGTAATATGTTCTTCTGTAATTGGTAGTAATTTGTTGGAACCTATGAAACACGGATACTTTGTTAAGGTTGACGTATCTGTATCGGATACCGTATCGAATATGATACTCGTCCGATATGTATCGGATACACATCAAACATATCTAATAATAAATAAAATATATGAAAATTTCACGGATATTTTGATATATAGAGAAGTATGTGTAATTTTTAGTTTTAATCTTTACGCCTTACTTTTGATTTCACATATAATGCAATAAATTAACAAAAAATTATATGATTTGGAAGACATATGAGTGTTTTCTAAGTATTATACATTATCACATATTCAAAGAGTTTAAATAAGTTGATTACTCTTTAATCTTAGGAACAAATACTTCTAAGATAATAATATAGTTAAATGTTGATTTTTATTCTTTTAATTTATCACGTTCACTTTGTAGATGTATCATAATAAAAAATTGTTAATGTTGTTTATTATTGTTAAAAAATCATTAAAAATTATAGCTACTAAGTCATTGCATAATATTAAAAATATAAAATATATATTTATAGACGTATTTCGGCCGTACCCGTATCTTATTTATTGGGATTTTGTCGTATTGCAGTATCCATTTCTATGCTTCCTAGGTTGGAACCTTTCTCCAGTAATATTACCAGTCTATTGGGTTCATCCAACACACACACACACCAAAGCGGCAGTTGTGGGGTGGGGGGCCGCTGCCCATAAATTTTGTACTCGTGTACCTGCTGTTTCAATTCTTATAAAAATAGTTTCTGTGAACCCTAGCAAGTCAGAATTTTGAATTTTGTTTTGATGGAAAATAGGCTGCTGATCATGTAGTGTAAAATTTTCACTTCTTTTTTCACCTTATCTTTGGAAGTCAATTCCTATTTTTGACTAAAATGGATCATTTAGTTCCTCTCTATTTTTAAATTACTTTCAGGGGAGAAGGGAAACAGTCTGAAAACTGGAAGACCCCTACACTATAAAGGAACCTTTTTTCATCGCATTGTCAAAGGAGCCATGGTTCAGGTATGTTCTTTAATCTTTTACTTGCATTAACCTTTTCTCAAGTATATAAATTCAATACCTCTCATTCCCTCTGTGCTTAGTTTTCTGGTTGAGCATGATTTAGAAGTGGCCTTGTCTTTTAGTCAGCTATCCTTGTTTATGCTGTAGGATACAGGGCTGATGGTCACGACTGCTTTTCTTGTGATGTAGTTTTAAGGTTGTACTTACTTAGTTGTCCTCCTCAAGTTACTAATCTTTGCCACACTTGGCCCATTTTTGTGCAAAGCATTTCCCTTCCTGAGTACAAGAGGTTTAACAGCTTGTATCCATTTTGCAGGGTGGCGATTTACTTAGACGAGATGGTATGCATTCTTTGGCAATCATTTTCATTCATGCACTTTGAAATCTTATCATTTTCATGGTTGCAATTTTGCTGCCCGTTATGGTTCTCATTTATGTAGTGTATTCTATCTGATGCTCATCTCATAACCATCAAATTAGTGAATTAGATTGGTAATTTATTTTTTCAAACCGTGAATATCTGCAACTTCTGTACATATATTAGTCACGTCTGGCAGTCAATGTTGGGTTAAATGGGGACGTCTTCTAATGGCCCTAAATGCAGGAAGCAACACGTTTGAAGTCCTCCTATAAGAGCTGGATCATCTCCACTGGGGGATCTTCAAGCATCTGAACATGCTAAGAATGTGTGTTGTGTCTTCTCCCTGTCATCTGGAATTTGTATTTTTCTATTTTTTGTTTTTATTTTTTTTCTTTATAACAAAATCTTTGTTTCCTCTCTAAACAAAAACATGTCGTCTGTGGTTGCGTTACATCTTTGGCATATGTCTGCATTGGACTTACTTCTGCTTTGTCTCAATTAATTTGTCAAAATCTTGTAATGCTGAACCAACCAAATAAAGTGTTGGAGTTTTCGACGACTTCTGCAGTCCCAAATAGAGTTCCACGAGCTTTTCCTCAAACCCAGCCTCTCCCAAATCTTTATTCTCAAACACAGTTTGTTTTAAACTTATTTCCCAAACTCGGTCTCTTTTTAAAAACGTCATTCCAAATGATGCCATTATGGGTTAAAATGTCATTTGAAATGACGATTTCATGAATTTTTTTTATTTAAATTGTCATTTGGAATGACGTCTTTATAGGTGTCCGTGAGAATGACGTTANTTTTCATTCATGCACTTTGAAATCTTATCATTTTCATGGTTGCAATTTTGCTGCCCCGTTATGGTTCTCATTTATGTAGTGTATTCTATCTGATGCTCATCTCATAACCATCAAATTAGTGAATTAGATTGGTAATTTATTTTTTCAAACCGTGAATATCTGCAACTTCTGTACATATATTAGTCACGTCTGGCAGTCAATGTTGGGTTAAATGGGGACGTCTTCTAATGGCCCTAAATGCAGGAAGCAACATGTTTGAAGTCCTCCTATAAGAGCTGGATCATCTCCACTGGGGGATCTTCAAGCATCTGAACATGCTAAGAATGTGTGTTGTGTCTTCTCCCTGTCATCTGGAATTTGTATTTTTCTATTTTTTGTTTTTATTTTTTTTCTTTATAACAAAATCTTTGTTTCCTCTCTAAACAAAAACATGTCGTCTGTGGTTGCGTTACATCTTTGGCATATGTCTGCATTGGACTTACTTCTGCTTTGTCTCAATTAATTTGTCAAAATCTTGTAATGCTGAACCAACTAAATAAAGTGTTGGAGTTTTCGACGACTTCTGCAGTACCAAATAGAGTTCCACGAGCTTTTCCTCAAACCCAGCCTCTCCCAAATCTTTATTCTCAAACACAGTTTGTTTTAAACTTATTTCCCAAACTCGGTCTCTTTTTAAAAACGTCATTCCAAATGATGCCATTATGGGTTAAATGTCATTTGAAATGACGATTTCATGAATTTTTTTTATTTAAATTGTCATTTGGAATGATGTCTTTATAGGTGTCCGTGAGAATGACGTCAAAAAAAATGAATTGAAAATGACAACATAACAGATGTTAGAAAAAATTGGTGGGTAAAAAACGTTATTTAGAATGACATTTTTTGCGACTTTATAATCAGACCCCAACTTTCCCAAATCACAAAATGTGTTTGATGGTCTGGGATTTTTGGCAAAAACCTGTTCTGTCATCCGGGTTTTGTTCTACTAGTGTTTCATGATCGAGTTTTTCTCTAATTCTGTGTAATATTTTAGGGTTTGGGTCTCACGAGGCTTCTGTGATTTGGGTTCGACAGTATGATGAATTGGGTTTTGGCGAGTGAACGTTCACTGATTTTGGGTGATTTGTTGTTGTATTAAACTCGGAATTGCTCACTGGGTTCTGAGCAAAATTTGAGTTTGGACTGGTGCCTGGTGAGTTTTGGGTGGATTTCAATAGAAGCTTGAAATGTTTGGCATTGTGCAATTACTTGCCTTTGGAAACTGATTGATATCTATGTTTGGGCCAGCGGTGTTGGACGAATTCANTTTCAATAGAAGCTTGAAATGTTTGGCATTGTGCAATTACTTGCCTTTGGAAACTGGTTGATATCTATGTTTGGGCCAGCGGTGTTGGACGAATTCAAAGTTTGGGATAATACTTTTGGTGGATTGGAAACCAATTTCATTTGTTTATAGATTTGGCTTTGGTTATAAAATTGAAACAAGTCACTGTCGATGTGTATTTTGAGTATCAATTGTGAGAATCTTGGTGAAATTTATCAACGGAGATTGCACATTTTGATGACATTTTTAAACTTTCTTCATGAAATTGGATACTGATTTGATGGAGACAACATCACCACCTCCAAATTCTTCACCCTCTGCTGTCCCACCAGCATTAACTACTCCTCCACCAGGCCCTCCAACTCAACCATCTTCTCTGAAACGCCTTCGAGGAGACCAAACATGGCTGATGTTGTTCAGATTCTTGAGTCCATCAGGAATGGATTGCAACCATAGCAAGGGAATTCGAGGGTTGTTTTTGGCCTGTCTCAGAGTTGGGGTTATAAANCCAAACATGGCTGAGGTTGTTCAGATTCTTGAGTCCATCAGGAATGGATTGCAACCATAGCAAGGGAATTAGAGGGTTGTTTTTGGCCTGTCTCAGAGTTGGGGTTATAAAGTCGCAAATTGTAAATGACGTTTTTTGCCCACTAATTTTTTTTAACGTCTGTTATGTTGCTTTTTTTAACGTCATTCTCACTGACGCCTTTAAAGACGTCATTCTAAATGACGATTTAAATAATAAAAAATTCAATTTGAAATTGTCATTTCAAATGACGTTTTAACCCATGAAGGCGTCATTTGGAATGACGTTTTTAAAAAGAGACTGAGATTAGAAAATAAGTTTAAATCAAACTGGGTTTGGGAATAAAGATTTGGGGGAGGCTGGGTTAGGAGAACAGCTCAGATTTCCACTGTTTGTGGATGACTGCTTGCTATGGGAACAGGGTCGCTGTTATGCATTTTTATGTTTCTTCTGTAAAGAGGCTTGAATTTTAACCCCAGTTCGAATCACCAGCCTCCATTAGGATTTCACTCATTGACCTTCTTAGTTCTTCTGATTTTATATCCCATTCTAGCTGGTCGCATGAGTTTTCCCTTTGCCCTGGTTTCAACCAACAAACCACAGTTGCTTTCCTGTTTTCCGTGAAAGTCCCTCCCTGATTATCCCTCGTCCATCTGAAGAGGCTTGAGCTTTCCTTGTCTTGGATGCTGATTTATGTACATTTGTCCAGAGTCTACCTTCTTCTCTTAATAATCTCCTATCGGCTTTTGCTAGCAGAGCTGCATTTTATTTTCTGTATGTTCTCAGACAAAGTTGTCCTCTTTTTAGTTGTTGATGTAGCAGTGTCCCCAGTTCATAAGGGGAACCCCCGCCTTTTATGGACCATTTAACCACATGAACTCCCTATTGAGTTTATCTAGATGGTTGCAAGTATTTTTCGGAAGCCAAACAATTTGCATAATATATGCAGGGAGAGCTGAGGTGATTGACTGGGTGAATGCGTCTCTTCCAGCTAGGCCTAGCCTAGCCTATTTGCTTTCTTTTGTACTCTGTTGGCAGTGTACCTTATGTTTTCTTGATGATTCTAGAGTGGATATCCCACACATCTGTTTGATCCCTCTGGTATTATGGGTTGGGGTTCTGGGAGATGTGGCAAATCCCCCTTTCCCGAGGGGTTCAAAATAAAAAAAGGAGTAAAATGGCCACCACCCAACCCCGCCTCCTACTATGGTGTCCTCTTGATTACACTCTTTACTTATCCTATATCATTTGATTACCTTTTAGAAAATGGTCCATTAGCTAGTGTTCGGCATATATATGTAAAACCTGACATTATTATTTGCCGAAAATGGCTCTTGGACCAGAACCTGCAGTCTCATCATAGGTAGCCAATGCATTTTAAGTTTTAACCTACGGCTCCTGAGATTGATGGTATGTACCTCATAGAGTTGGTGCAGATTGTTTTTCAACTTGAAAAGGACTAACTATTGGGGTGAGGCCCGGATAAAATCCCTTTTTGACAAAGTATACTCGAATAAAATCCTGAATTGAGCTTGACAATGATTGTAAGAAAATGCAAAAACCATTGTGCACACATGCCTGGGGCAAAAGGTGATTACATTTGGACCTATAGCATGCATGCTTTAAATTATTAACCAAATAAATTTAGTTGATCTACTGTGATTTTTCAGTTTATTTCTGAAGCTAAACGGGTTAACCAACGTGATCATACTTGGTTCAGATTGTAGTATTTTAAATATATGGTTTGAAAGATTAGACTCACTGGTCACAGGATTGCTGAGATTCTTCTTTCATTGACTTCTATTCTCTCCTTTTCAGGGGCTTATGGAGAAAGCATATACGGGGGAAAGTTTCCAGGTGAGAATATGTTCATGTTATTGTGGCTTTTTGTGTGGTTAGATCTTGATGGCCATTTGCTGATGCTTACTTTGAGTAATCGATGGACTAGACCTGCATCATTATTTGTGGAGCTTGGTTTGGATAATTGATCACATAAAGCATTCCTATTCATGTGTATTTTCCCTGCAAGTCATTTGTATCTTGAGAGCAAATAGGCTTCCTTTTGAATTGCCTGTGAAGGTGGTGGCTGGTTTTTTGATCTTATTCTTGCTGCATGGGAACTTCGATCGAACATAAATTGCACTATTGTAGCTCTATCTCGTACACGGTGGGGTATATGGCTGCTACATCAACTTGTGCATATGGTACTCTTTGGTTTTGGATTGGTATCTCGTATCCTTACATGTGCTTGACATGCTGTTTAACCATGCATTTTTTTCCTTCTTTAATTGGTGGTGTAGTTTTTGTCATATTACTATATAGTGAATTTGGAGTTGTGAGAAAAATAATGGTTGACGAAGGTCATAATGCTCGGTCAGCATTTTAAGACAGAAAAGTCAATTCTTACTGTTCTGATTGTTGGAGTATAGTAATAATTTTTTTGGGGTTGTACTTAATAAAATGAAGCTTAAATTGTGAATGTTGGTCGATGTGTGGCTTTTACACATTGAGGTTACAGTGTAACTCAAATCTTTGAGCCTATGCAACTAGATTAGCTATACAAATCAGACTTTATTGAGCTGTATTTGCTTGCTTGTGTGCATTCATATGCATTGTTTGGAAGTTGGTGTTTGATGACTCTACTATGATGTAGCCATTGCTGTTCTTAGCTCAATATGGTGGTACGTTGTGGTACACCTTTCTCCCAAACATGTAGTAGATGGGGTGTTGGTGCATGGAGCTACTTAAATATGTTAAACAAGTGGCTTCAATTGATTCAAAAGACACTGCTAGAATATAGTCGGTTGCGAAATGCTCTGCTCTTCTTGGGAGTATATTTCTTTTATTATTTTCTCTTCTTGGGAGTCTATTTTCTTGTGGTCAATGAGTGTAATTGGTTTTTGCCATGCGATGCTCGTTCTATATATATAAAGGGAAAAATGAAGGTCATATGTGCTGTTATTAATTTGCTTCATGTTGATTCTCTGTTATGTGTTATAT